ATTCAAATTAAATTCTGATGTCTATAACATGAATACTAGACAAAAATATAACTTCCACCTACCCTCATCAACTTTATCAGTATATCAAAAAGGAGTCTACTTTACTGGCATAAAAGTGTTCAACAATCTGCCACAAAGTATTAAAAACTTGGGCAATGATACTAAAAAGTTTAAATCAGAGTTAAAGAATTATCTACATGCTCATTCCTTCTACTCTTTAGATGAATACTTCAATGTAAATAGAGAATGATGTAAAATTAAGTTATAATAATTTTTAAGCTAAAATTGCCTGTACTTATGTATGTAACATTTTGACTTGTTCTGTATCCAAAGGTACTAACCTGCTTAGGATCTATAGAATGTAAATAAATTCAATTCAATTCAATTCATCATCCTTGAAATTATCATACTGATGATGTTTTGTCAGCTTCCCACCGCGGCGGCCCCAGTTCTATCCCAGGTCAAATCATGTGGGGTTTATGTTGGATAAACCGGCGCTGGGGCAGGTTTTCTCCGGGTAGTTCAGTTTCCCCTGCCATCCATCATCTGCTTCACACTCGTTAACCGCCCTTTCATGGACGTTATATTCGTATATACTCGAAACTGACAGCGTCATTAAATAACCATACAATGAAGAAGTTAATTACTTTATTTACAGCAGCCTAAAGGCTTCTTATAAAGTATTGACGAGCTAAAACAAACAAACAGTAGTCTTACACAAACTACAACAATAATTCAATTCAATTCGTGTTTATTTACGTGCAAACTTAACAGCACAGAGGCCAATTACAAAGTTAGCACGAGTACATAGAAATACACAAAAAATAATTCAAGAACGAAATACTAAATATGACAGTCTATATAATGGCAATAAACTAATAATAATAATTAAAAAAATTAAAGTTAGCTTTAACGGGCGAGGAAAATAAAATAAGTGTATTTCCAATGGTTATGCCATTTTGTGTCATATATATACACGCATAAAAGTTAATAGTAATAATTCAATTAATTTTTAACACCAGAGACTTTACATTGCTCAATGTCTGTCCCTCATGTAAAAGTTGTCCCTCTGCTAGATCTGCAGCAGCTGCTACTATTTGCTGGGACGTTGACGTATTCGGAGCCAGGAACGTTCGCCTGAAATATTTTTTTATAATATGCTATAATTGTTATTATTGTTATTTGCATGAACATAAACAACAATTAAACTGAATTATTATTATTATTATTATTATTTCTAAATATCTATACTTTACACTTCCATGTTGTCAAGAGCAACTTAGATTTGTGTTAATGAAATTATTATTATTATTATTATTATGTTTGTTTACTTATATGCATTAATGTGTTTTTCCTCCAGTGCTGTGTCTGTAATTGGCCTTGCGGCTGTTGGCTCAGCACATAAACAATAAAGAATTGAATTATTATCATTATCATTTTGAGAGGAGTACAACTCATGACGCTCCTCTCTGTCCAGAGTTGTCCTGTGTTCTGTCATTTGCTCCCTCCCTGGTGTACACTGTTCTCCCAGCTGTCAGAGTCAGTCAGCCTGTCCAATGGGAAGTGGCTAATGTTCATGGAAGAGGCTACGTCGATAGAGGAGTTCTTCTCCGACATTTACGTCCCGTTCGACAGCGAGTTCCTGGTGGCACAGAGTTCTTCTGGACTCAGTACTGAGAACTATGAAGTGTCACTCACTGAGGTATACAAAATACAGGCAATTCTGCCACTCCAGAAGAATCGAATTGCTAACTGGAGTTCAGTGAGTGGATTAAGCTGGACTACTGTGGATCTACATCAGAGGCGAGATCTGCAGGGCGTCGTCATGAGATGCGTGTTTCTTCCCGAAGTACGTATCTTTTTATGAAGTATCTGCATCCTGGTATCTAAGTCTTTTCAAATGTATTAATATTGTATTTCGTGATATTCTTATCAAGGATAATTTCTTTTTCGTAAACAGCCTCCATACTTAACAGTGGGAAGGTACAATGGTAAAGTTCCTGCAGACGTGAGTGGATATTCAATAGAACTTATGAAGATTCTTCAATATCGCCTGAATTATACGTATGTAATTATTCAATTTCAATATAAATTAGCTATGTTGTTCATCTGTGATTTCCTTTCAAGTCTCACAAGCTTATGGAAGTGGCCAACTTCTTTTCATTGCTAGTGGGGTGGGACTAAGTCCCTTGTACTGCGGCCACTTCTGGCCTATTGTACCAGGCCCAGATGATAGGTGAGGGTGATTGTGGAGCAATTGGTGGAATGAAGATTGGCAGGGGAAACGGAAGTACTCGGAGAAAACCTGCCCCAGCCCCACTTCGTCCACCACAAACCCCATTTGACCAGAGCCGGGATCGAACCCGGGCCGCCGCGGTGGGAGGTCAGCCACTAACCGCTTAAGCTATGGCGCGGCCAAGTGGCCAACTTACAGAACATGTTGTCACAGTTCCTAATTTTTATGTCTGTACCGACTAAACACGTGCATTACATTATTCTTGACAACATATTAAAATCTGCGATGTCTTGTGCTTTGTTCCCGATCCTGTCATAGCTACACATGATGAATATTAAAGCAGTAAATTCGAAGCGAATGTGAAAGAGGTATTTATACTGAGAAATACAAAATATGTGAGACATGATCCTTTGAATATGACGAACTTGAACCATTTTATTGATTGTTAAATACAGATCTATCGATTGCAAAGAAATATCGATCTATCGATTGCAAAAATTATCGATCTATCGACTGCAAACAAATACAATCTTGTATGCCTGATGATGACCATTTAGGCAGAAACATGTAGTATAAAATAAATAATAATAAGAGATAAAAGTCTCGAAGTGTTTTTTCAATATACGGACGGAGCTGAACTCAGACGGAGAAGTGAGAATCCTAAAAGTTTACTGGCAGACGGATGCTTAGCTGGTACATGAAATGGAGAGATGAGTGGAGAGTTTTTATTCTTAGAGACTGGTATAAAACTCGCTTGAATTTCTGTGTGGCCAATGCAGATAAATTAAAACATGACCATAATTCTAATATAAATCCGATCCATACAAAAGAAATTAACAGCCGTGGGGATCCGTTGTGCTGACCACGCGACACCCTCTATCCGCTAAAGTTGGCACTAACTTCGCCGGCAAGAGGCGGTCGCTCTGTCGGTATAGTTCGCTTGCGGAGGAAAGTCACGGAGATTTTGTTTTCTAATTCTACTATAAAATGCTATGAGGCGGGAAAGATACAAGATAAAGAGGGTAACAATGCGTAAATATGACTTTCTTTTGTTGCATAAGAGCGCCGTCATACGTAACAGGTGGCCATCTTACGAGTATAAAGGTGGCCAATTTCACAGGTTTCACTGTATATTGAAATGTATAAAGTGACCAATATACGACCGAATAGCCTTAATCTACGATACCATTCGGGGTTTCATAACAGTCTTCATAGATATTTTTCGCCAGATTAGTAACTATTGCATCTCAAGGGATATTCTGTACTATGAAGTTATGTAATTACCTATTAATATGGGACCAGGTGATTAGATGTCACGCAATATAATCATTTCATTCATCTGTGGCACTGGCGGCCCAATGTTTTCGTTATATACATATTGAAACATTGGTACATGGAGTTTAACTTTTTTTTTTTTTGCTAACAGGAAAGTGTATATACACTAGATAATTAGCACAGTAAATGGGAGACTTGAATGCAATTTCCTCTCCCTTCCTGATGGTTTTTGTGTCCGCGGCAACAGTTACGGACACAACCATAGAGGAACTGTTGGAAACGATGTTCTCTATATGTTTCGTGCAGAGGATATATAGCGAGAGACATCCGGGAAGTTAGCAGTTAGAAAGTAGTAAAATATGAACCAAGAATCACTGTGCTGGCGAGGACCAGCTGCTGTTTTGGTGGGTCTGAAGTTATCACTTGGAACCATGGGTTAAGTGTGAGAGCGTCGCCAGCGAGCGAGAACAAGAGCTGCTGAACATGGAAGCTAATGAATCTATATTGGTGTGAGCCGTAACCTAGCAACGGTTAGTAGAGACAAGAGAAGAATTAGTGCTTGCTACAGTGAATTGAAAAGTGTATAGATTAGCAATATAATTATAATTCTCGTAGTTACGATTTATAAGTGTACAACAGATCAAATACCGACAGAAACCCCTTGTAGGATCATTAAATTGTGACAATATTAATTGTCTCCTTTGAACTTTTAATCTGCAGGGTACAATATTACATTCCTGATGAAATATCTTATGGAACAGAAGATGAAAATGGTTCATGGAGTGGTATGGTGGGAGAAGTGTTCAAAAAGCGAGCGGATATCGGGCTAAACCTGTTCATGCTAACTGCAAAACGCGCCACAGCTGTCGGCTTTTTCCCACCGATCTTCAACACAAAGTAAGTGAACGTAAAGTAAAGCTATACCTGGAACAGTTCGTCGAAGCCCATGAGACGTCGAAGCTCCTACATTTTCCAGACAATCGGCTCACAGATGGCAGTGAGGTTGTCAGCCTTACGCGCCGGGTGCCCTTTACCACCCAGAAAAATTCTTGGTACGTATTTCTGTTAGAGGTTGAGTCGACCACAGGGGCAATAGTGCAGCTGGAACGAGCGACCGCCGCTTGTCGGTGAAGTTTCACTTGAGGGGGGGAGGGTAGCGGCCTCCGTAGTCTAGAGGTAACGTTCCCATTTCATGACTCGTAGTACGCGGGTTCAAATACCCGGCGGAGGTCGTCGAATTTTTAAGGGCGGAAAAATTCAGGGAACAAGTCCTCCGGGAGGGACTTTAAGCCGTGGGTCCGGTGTCGTAGCTTTACGGCANGGAGTTCAACTGGGTCCACTCGGCACGGGGGGCACTGATTGGCCTATTGTAGCCTGCCCCGGGTGATTATGATGAATGGAATTATGGATGAATGGATGGATGAATTATGGTGGAATGAAGACTGGCAGGGAAACCGAAGTACACGGAGAAAACCTGCCTCAGCGCCATTTTGTCCACCACAAATCTCACTTGCCCAGACCCGGGACTGAACCCGGGCCGCCGCGTTGGGAAGCCAGCGACTAACCGCTTAAGCTATGGCGCGGCCCCTGTCGGTGGAGTTAGTGCCAACTCTTGCGGTGTCACGTGGTCAGCGCAATAGATCCCCACGGCCATTAATTTCAGTTATTTCCTTGAAATAGCTCATCAATTATCCTCACGAGGCTGAGTGGGCCCCGTTCCAGACCCATTACTTCTCAGAAAATCTGGTAGCGTCGGGAATCGAACCCGGGACCTCTGGATCTGTAGCCGGGAACTCTGACCACTTGACCACAGTAGCGGTCAGTGCTCTCAGCACAAAATTAATAATAACTGAATTATAAATTACAAGCAGTTTTATTTTTCTGAAGGGCCATAAATCCTTCTTCGGGACTATACACTTCCTCTCGCCGTCCTAAGTTACAATTGCGGGCTTCACTATTATCTGAAGGAGTTGTTAGAGTTCGAGAACTTCGCTGAGTATCTCAGACACGATTGCGTGTCCCTCACGAGATGCGAAATCAATTACAAACATTTATCTACGGCATTACGACTAGGCCAACCAACACAGCACTTCACATTTAAAATATAAGAAAATGAAACAACAGAATACATTGTTGTAGCTCCATTAGATAGAGTTCTGATTAACAGGATGATGGTGCACATCAGAGGGCCGGAACTGGTTCACAGCGGCATCAGGCACGTTGTGAGGCAGTTCACACCTCTCCTTTGGGTCGCCGTGATCATCACGATGACAATACTGATGCTGCTCCTGTCGGCCACTTGGTATATCGGAATTCATTGCAATCATCACGAGGAACTAATCAGCTACAGGCTTTGTGACACGTGGCTGTATACGGTCGGCATCATGTGTCAGCAAGGTAAGGTCTTGTCGCATTTACTGTTATTGTATTCTATTTGGAAACCGACTCTGCGGTCTAGTGCTCAGCGTTCCTGGTTACGGATCCAGAGGTCCCGGGTTCGATTCTCGGCGCTACCGGATTTTCTGAGAAGTATTGGGTCTGTAAGGGGATCCATACAGCCTCGTGAGGATTATTGAGGTGTTATTTCAAGGAAATCGCGGCTCCGGTCTATAAAACCGAGATTAACGGCCGTGGGGATCCGTTGCGCTGACCAAACAACACCCTCTATCCGCTAAAGTTAGCATTAACTTCGCCGACAAGCGGTAGCTCGGTCGGTATAGTTCGCTTGCGGACTACAGGCCACGGAGATTGTATTATACTCGTATTTGGTGTAAGGTGAGACCGGATCTGTTGGTATTGCAGCTGCGAATTAGTGAGCACTGGGCTTGCTAAAATAACTACAGGCATGGGTAACGACACAGTAAGCTTCCCGCTGTCTGTCGTTGCATAACTGTCACTTGAACTAAAAATATTTGCCAGCTGCCTTATTCAACACTACATATGTTTACTAACTATAGAGTAACTAGCCACTGAAAATTAAATCTTAAAAATGCTATTATTTCTTTAAGTCACTAAAACATTCGGCAGCGTCAGCGCTTGGCAAGTAGCGAGAGGAATGTTTTCTTTCTGGAATAGTAGCGAGATAGATAGCAGTGCGCAAGCGTGAGGTTCTTTCGTCAGAGGAGAAAATGGAACAACCTTAAATGATAATTGGCGGGTAACCCCATAATTTTTTTCCTTGGCACTACAGCCTTGGCCCCAGTGGGCCTAGGCCTACATCCATGAACTCCGTTCATTTCGGTTTTTCTAGATCTTACACATACGGTAGGACTCCTTGGGCGAGTGATAAGCTCGTCGCAAGGCCTCTACCTGCAGACAAACACAGAAAATCGCACACAAACATCCATTCCGAGTGGGATTCGAACCCACGATCCCGGCTTCTGAGCGAGCGAAGACAGTGCATGCCTTAGACCGCTCGGCTACAGTGACCGACGGATAACCCCATAATACATTGATAGAAACATGCTCTAGTGACACTTTGTCCACCATAAATCCCACATGGGCTTTGCAACCTACCAAATATAAGAAGAAGATTGAGGAGACTGTCTGACCTGCCACAACCCGCAGATGACAAAGATTAAAACCATCCCCATTCCTCTACAGGGCCTGTCAGACTGTCATCAGTGGATGACTTCTCTGCTCAAGACAGCTACTTAGAGCAAATCTACTGATTACTCCATATAGGCCACACCATAGCTCAAGCGGTTAGTCGCTGGCTTCCCACCGCGGCGGCCAGGATTCGATCCCGGGTCTGATCAAATGGGATTTGTGGTGGACAAAGTGGCGCTGGGGCAGGTTTTCGCCCGAGTACTTCGGTTTCCCCCGCCAATCTTCATTTCACCAAATTCTCCATCATTATAATCGCCCGGGCAGGCTACAATAGGCCAATCAGTGGCCGCCGTGCCGAGTGGACCCAGTTGGACTCCACCCCCCAATATGCGAATTAAAAAAAATATATTACTCCATATTACCGAGAGTAGATTGTAAATATGCCATGAATTAAATGAATATAAATTCTTTTTGGAAGAATTTGTTTGATAAAACTATAGCTAAGATTCCTCACTTATAAAATTCTAATTCCAGTCATTCAACTTGAATTCTTACTCATTTCTTCAAAAACATTTGTCGAACTAGGTTAACACAAAGCGATTTACGGGTTCACCTGTTTCACAGCGCACTATATGACACCCAGAGCCTGGCCCTGTCGCGTCGTCTACCTCACTGTGTACGTCACAGCCTTCGTGCTCTTCGCCGCTTATTCGGCCATCTTCATTTCGTTTCTTGCTGTGAGGAGATTTGATCTGCCTTTCAAGGATTTCCAAGGACTTCTTCAAGACGGCCGATATGTGCTCGGTGTAATTAAAAATTCTGAACGTGAAGCATATTTCAAGGTAAATATCTATGCCCCCTTCCTTCGCTTCTTTCATATTATTTTCCATTCCTTATCCGTATCCCACTTCCTTCCTTCCTCGCCTTTACTTTAAAACAATTTATATCATTCAAGACATAACTACATAAGCTGATTAGGTCGATTCATCTTATGTTTATACTGGCCAAAAAGAAAGAGTAAACGATGAGACACACACACACACATTTTTACATTCCGTTTCCATGGGAACGAGGTAGGAACGACCTTACGACAAACTGATAAATATTTTCCGTCTTACACTAATTACATAATAATGTTTTCCTATATATCTCATATATATTTTATGGAAATACTAAAGGGAGTATGCAGTAGTTTAGTTGGTTGAGGCACTATGCTACAAGCCAGAAGATCGCGGGCTCAAATCCCGATGAGGTCACTGAAGTTATAAATTGACCAGCCGCACTATGGCCCTGAGGTCGATTCAGCCTCTGTTTTAGGAATCTTCCTGGGGTAAATGGCGACCGGCGCGTAAGTCTGACAACCTTACCGCCAACTGTGAGCCGATTTTCTAGAAGATGTGGGGACCTGGACGTCTCAAAACCCTATGGGCCTTCACGGCCTGTTACAGGGATAGCTCTACCTTTTCACCTTTACTAAACTTTAAAATGTACTAGTTACTTCTTAAACAAATAATATTTATTTTTAATAAAATGTTTATATTATTACAATAATTTACGTGAATTCATTTAACCCTGTATTTAGTTGGTATTGGCGGTTCTTTCTACAGGGGTAAAGCGGCCGGGGTTGACCACTCACCTCAATAAATGTAGACGTTAAGAATACCTCTGTCTCCTATGAGCCTTCATTATATGACAATTAAACAAAGATATATATTTTTCTGAATTCTGTTCTTGCGCACAGATACATTTGTGCTTGTGTATCAGCTCAAGTAAATGGATGCCTATTGTCCTTAAATTAATCATATATTTATTTTAATTTGTTGAATATCTCTTAAAGAAAGAAATTTATTGGATGTCCACCGTATTTAACGGGAAGTTTTATAAGAGATTCATCGGTTCACTTACGTTAAATTAAATTTTCTTTGCAATTCTTTATTGGAGATAGTCGTAACACAACAATATAATGGTCAAGGTCAACATTACCTTAGCTACATGTTTCGACTTTTAAAGCAGTCATCAGGCAAACACACACTATTGAACTGAATTTCAATGTGGCAATTGAGCTGCATATTTGACTACTGTAACATTATAAAACCATATTTTATTACATAACTTTCGTTTTATAATAATTTTGTAATTCACTGTATTTTTATACCTTGTATTATTCTAGTGAAACACAATTGTCAAGTATCCAGCTCTACTGTCACACTGAAATGCAGTTCAATAATGTGTGAGTGTAGTAACCATGTATTTGTCCTGATAATGGCTTTAAAAGGCGAAACATGTAAAGTAAAAAAAAGCAAGTAAAGCTATCCCTGTACCAGTCCGTGAAGGCCTATAGGGTTGTGAGACGTTGAGGCTCCCACATTATCCAGACAATCGGCTTACAGATGGCTGTAAGGTTGTCAGCCTTACGCGCCGGCCACGCTTTACTCCCCAGGAAAATTATTTAATTAATTCCTGGTACTCATTTCTGTTAGAGGCTGAGTCGAGACGAAATATGTAGCTAAGGTAATGTTGACCTTGACCGTTATGTTGCTGTGTTACGAAGGACTCCAGTAAAGAATTGTATATAATAAACACAACAGGATGCAGGAAATGAAAATCAATTTTCTTTTTCCAGTTTTCGGTTCTAGTGAGCACCCGATCCCTTAATAATCACATTAACGGACAGGATTTTGGCCCCCACGGTCATGACTTGATTTCAGTGTAGTGTACTTCGGAAACTAACATTTCAAATGAATATTTCGCCTCCATCTCAGAATCAGAGTGCAAACCAAGAAAGGAACAAGGAGAAACAAAGAGTTGCTTCCTGGGTTACAACATACAATTAATTTCTAATACCGTATTTACGCATGTATAGGCCGCCTGCGTGTATAGGCCGCAGCACAATTTTCAGACAAAAATCTTAGAAAAAATAATTTTCTTGGAATATTATTTCAGGAGTAGAAATTATTCCGAAATTTGGCAACGTTTAACATTCCTAAGTTCGCAACTAGCGAAAATAACGGTACCGCTCGGAACAAAGGCATTGCGGGGGAGAGTTATAACCTTTTCGCCTTTACTTGACTTGCCTGGTTAGTTCTGAGTGAAACATGGGTCGAGTAAGAGCAGGTTATACGTCTAAATTTAAACTTCAAGTGGTGCGTTACGCACAAGAAACGGAAATCGAGCAGCAGGAAGAAAATTCGGCGTTGACGAAAAAATGTGCGAAGATGGATACTAACGAAAGATGCCCTTGAAAAAACGTCACAAAATCGACAATCTTTCCGCGGAAAGAAAGCTAAATTTCCAGAACTTGAAAATAAACTTTTGCGATACGTGCGTAATACACGGGCGGATGGATTTTCAGTGTCTGTGGAAATGATTCAATTTGAAGGCCTCAAAATAGAGGACAGAATGTAAATTCCTCGTAATGAATTTAAGGGAAGCACGGTAAGTTTGTGTTATCTTTTTACAGTATTCTTATAAATGTGTGCATGTACAGAAACTGATGTAAGGGTATCAGCGACACGACTGCACTCTCGCTAGCGGGGAGGGGCACAGTAGTCGCGGAGAAACGTTCCATCCGCTCTACGCTGCTGCCCCGGTTTCCTCGATTTTTGAACACTCTGTATTACTAATTATGAACATAATTCTCTTTAATTTAAGTGTGATTTCGAATATTTCGAATATAAGCCGCACCTCAGTTTTCCTCTTGAATTTTTGGCAAAAAATGTGCGGCCTATACATGCGTAAATACGGTAATTGATAACAATTTTTTTCTTCCACAGAAATCTGAAATTTCGGTGCTGAGACGTATTTACGAGGTACTAATTGAGCCCTACGGCTCCAGTCCTCCTCTAAGCGATGAAGATGGCTTGATGCGCACTTGCAAAGAGGAGACGTACAGTTATATATGCACACAGATCACAGTTCGGGGGCTGGCAAAGACACTACCCTGCATGTTGGTAGGAGTTCCCCGCGCCTACTTCTCCGTCACAGTATCCATGATCCTGCAGAAGTCAAGTCCTTACAAGAGACTCTTCAATCGCCGGTGAGTTCTATCAGAAAAGTATTATAGCGTCTCTTTAAATTATGAAGAGAATCAGGAATTGTCTGTAATATAGCTGCAATTGTCAGTACAACTGTCATAAGTCACCATTACTGGGTCCAACATAAATGGCTTCCCTTCAATTTCCGTCAACCAGAAGACGCTTGGTATCTTTCTCATTACAGCATTTTGTTCCATCACATCACATGTCTTAATAGGCTTGAAAGTACAAATTTCGGCATCTTCAAATCTGGTATATTTATCTATCTGCCTTTCCTCTCTACTTCTTTCTCTCGTGTTTGTTTCTGTTTTATATTCACACGCTTTCCTTCGTCTTCTTGGTCACTCTTAAGGCTGAAAACCCACTGACGCAACTAGTCGCGAGCGGCTAGCCGCTCTTTGTTGCGCGCGTCCGTTAGTTGTAAATATTAGGCGTGCGATAGCTCTGCCGCCTGTGTGCCGCGTTCCAAAACCTAACCGCGCGCGGCTCATAAAAGCAATACAAATAACGGCCACGAGAGACAACACTCGACAAACCGCGCGCGGCTTGTCGCGTCAGTGGGTTTTCAGCCTAAGTCTTATCTTCTCATTTCTTTGGAAAAATACATCTGGCTTTTTTTCAATCAACAGGTTCCACACACACCTCTCTTACTAGCCCGCTGGAGTCGATGTGTGGAAAAGGAAAATTCACTTAAAATATTTTAAATTCAGTCTTGACTATCAAACTCTTTAGCGAAAAAAACTCATTTATTCTGATAATCATAACAAAGATATAGTATCAGAGCAGATTAATTCAGCTCAGAATCTTACGTAGAATTAAATTCTGCCTGCTGTTTTTTATGGATATGAGACCTAGTCTGTCTTGTTAATGAAGGAACATAGACTGAAAATATTTTCTCATTATTCCATAATTATTATTCCCCCTTCTTTAATAAATATTTTAATTTTTTCCTACATCTACAATATTTTTTTTTATTCTATATTATTAATATTACAGACTCCAGGAGATGAAACGCAGTGGACTTCTGAAACGAATAGACAAACAAATTTGGCCTGATGAGACGGCCGAAGCTGTACACCAATCAGAACGAAACGTAACTCTGGGTACAGTAGCCATATTTCTCTTCATACTTTGTGCAGGTGTTATTATATCAATTGTCGTATTAGTGATGGAGATTTGCTGGTACAAATTCTGTCAGTTAAAACTGAAGAAGACACAAGTATCTTCGAAACAACAAAAGCTCGTATGCCTGCTCTTCAGACCTGAACAATAAACGAAAAAACTTCCTCGTTACGTTAACAGTGTTCACTTCAATAATGCTAAATATATTCAATGGATTTCCGTATCGTTTGCACCTTCAGCCCATGTGGATCTAACCCCTGCACGCTACACTCATTTGGTTCATGCAGTAAATGGAGCGGCCATGTTGAAGCCAGTTGTGAAAGACAACTCCATGATAAAGGTGAAATAAGTCACTACAACAGGGAGAGATACCATGCGTGCGCAGTCAGCAGTGGAGCCTAACACGTCATTTTTTCACATTAGCTTGCTTACTGTTGTAATATATTATTCAAGTTCGCTTAAAGACACCACCCAATAACAACTTAACAAGTTCTCCCTTAATGACCCAACATGTCTACTCCTAAAAGGTCATCATCAGGGTATATTTAATATTGTAACGTGGATGGACACAGCATTGCTAGGTTACTGACCATTAAATACCTGAATACATGCAAGACAACAATGGAACTGCGGTATGCCGTCGGCACCATGACAGTTGTTATGCGATCGCTCGGTAAATAAGTTCCAACAGTAGAAACTGTGTTTTCTACGGGGTCACTGCGGAGGCTATATAACAACAGTTGGAGACAGAACGGATTTAAGTATTTAGGAGTACTGGGGAGTATTCGAGTGTTTAGGGCCCAGCCATAGCTCAAGCGGTTAGTTGCTGGCTTCCCACCGCGGCTGCCCGGGTTCGATCCCGGGTCTGGTCAAGTGGGATTTGTGTTGGACAAAGTGGCGCTGGGGTGGGATTTCTCCGAGTACTTCGGTTTCCCCTGCCAGTCTTCATTCCACCAAATTCTCCATCATCATAATCACCCGGAGCAGGTTACAATAGGCCAATCAGTGACCGCCGTGCCGAGTGGACCCAGTTGGGCTCCACCCTCCACTAAGAGAATTTAAAGAAAAATGATTTGAGTGTTTAAGTGACAGCCACGGGAAGTTCGTCGTGTGAAGACTTGGAGTGTGATTGGAAGACTTTAATTATGTGTAATACTTTGTGACAGTCCAAACCTTTTACAACTCTTCAATGGACGCTATTGTCCTCTTTAGCCATTTCGGTAGAGTGACTGATTTATTGGGGATACCGATGCATTAGCTTGTAATGACTTGCTTTTCGCATTTGGACAGAAACAACTGCCTTGTTTTGTTACCTGCAGCTTGGGTGACCGAGCAAGGACGCGGCTATCACGAAAGGCAAGTCTGTAGTTTGCCGAAGATGTAAATTTTGTTTTGCTTATGGGTAGCTGTGATAAAAGTGTCTTCGGAAGGGTGTAATTTGACCCTAAACTAAGAAATATCCGCTTTCACGTGTAGGGTTCCGGGTTCAATATCTTTGGATCTCTTTATTCTCAAAGTTCGTTATGTGATTTTTTGTGTTAATGGTATGATGGATTTGGCAGTTAAAACCAGCCAATAGGAAACTATTCTTGTCTGGGAGAAAGGCCGTCGGTTCAAATCCTATACAGTGGATGAAGCGACGCTCCCGCAGTATAGAGTGGACAGAAGGACTTGGCGTTTTGAATCCATCAGAGGCAGACGTCATTGAGCTGCACTCTCCAAGTTTATCTAAATTTATCAGTCTTTATTTGGTTCGATTAATCTTCGATAATAATAAAAAGGGCACATTACTCCGTACTTGCTAATAAAGTTATAGTGTTTGCTTCTGAAATAAACAATTTGTGGAGAGCAGAAATAGTGTCTTTGATTTCTACAAGTGGAGTGGTTTTAAATGTGTAGTTTTCCCGTTGCCTCAGTTATTACCGCGACACGGTCCTGAGAAGAGTCAAGTGGTCTACGGAAGCCGGCAAATAAATAAATAAAAGATAGAAAAGGGGACGGTAACAAGAAGTGGCGCTCAACGGTTACAACTTGGAGTGATTTGAAGCGCTAGTATCTGTGTTGAGGTCCATTACCAAGCGAGAACTAATGTGCGTGTAACAGTGGATTATGATTTATGTAAATCAGCGATAGCTCTGTATTTTAAGCATCATTAAAAGGGTGTGTTACCAAGCTGCTAATACATTCAATCATCATAACTAGAACCCGTTATTTCGTCACGCCTACCCCCCTACAAGTGACAATATTTAGCAAAAGGGTTCAAGGATATAATACTTTCGGACTCGCATTTTAAAATTATTTTACAATTACTATGAATTAAGTATGAGAACATAAAACAGTAAACCCTCGTTATGACAGACACAGATATGAAGGTTTCTGATACAACTGACAAAATCCAGCTGTGGGCAACTGTGGAGTTTTAAGACACGTTGAGACATTAAAGAGGTTTTGTAGTTAGTAAAAGGTTTAAAATAAAAGAACCCCAATAAAATCTGTTTATATATTCACACTGTGTTCGTATGTTTCTTACGTGCATTGGCTATTTATACTGTAGCGTGCAGAGTCGTTTCTAGGCAACGATCGCAAACAAATACGTTCCCGCGGCAACAGTCCGCGAACAACATTAGAAATACTGATAGAAACGGTGTTTTCCACAGTGGTCAGTGCTGAGGAGTTATAAGCCGCCATCCAGGGAGGACTTTAGCATGTAAGCAGAGGAACAGCCATTGTTAGAAGCCGTTACCAGGAGACGTCTAGTGGAGATTGGACGAACTGAGAATTCCCTTTTGATTTGTAGAATGTGGAGATCAATCATGGCACTATAATTAAATGTTATTACGAGTTATGTGTTAAAGTACTCAATAAATTCAATACCCGATCCAAAACCCCGTCGAGGGAGTCACTCATACACACTATGGTGTACTTCCGTGAATACACTTTCAGTGGGTTATGGCAGAAATCGGCGCTACCGGACACCCTGCACCCCCACCCCCATTACTACGTCATGAGTGTTTATTATGCATCATGATACATTATTCCAGAAATATTTAAACATTTAAAGAATGTCGTATTCTGGGATAAGGCGAAGTGAAGATCTTGTGCGAAACGACGTTTCGGAGGAACGTATCGCCTCCATCTTCAGGGTAGAAAAACCAGCGTGAGCAGGTATATAAAGCAAAACTTCCTCCTTCCAGATCCTCACATGCATTATCATCCAATTTTATTTGATATCACGTAATATCCATAGTTGATACACAGTCCTTAAATGATACGAGGATCTTATTGATACATATGCAGAAACATTTATTAACGCCTAAGTTAATATTATTTACCTGCCAGCCCGCAATTAATCTGCCTCTAGAGTACACTTCGCAAATGCACAAGTGTGCACATTCAAACACATGATGGATTGCAGTTCCATAAATTGACAAATACGTTTGAAATGAAACGTCTGAAGAAGAAAACTCTAGAGACCCTGACGATGGCAAAGAAGTGGATCAATAGCTATTACTCTAAAAGCTTCTATTGATTTGTTTCTATAACCGCATGAAAACCAAATACAAAATTTTAGTAAAGTTATTTATTTAACGGCGATAGTGTATTTTTTTCCTTCTCACTACAGGCCCCTGTGGGCCTAGGCCTACCTCCATGAACTTCTCCGTTCACTTCGGTTTTTCTAGATCTTACACATTCGGTAGGACTTCTTGGGCGGGTGATCAGCTCGTCGCAAGGCCTCTACCTATACACAAACACAGAAAAGCGCCCACACACAAACTAAGCGTCCATGCCCTGAGTGGGATTCAAACCCACGATCCCAGTTTCCAAGCGAGCGAAGACAGTACATGCCGATAGAGCGTATACAGGAGAGAAATGTATAAAATATTTTGGAAGAAAACCACGATGAAAAAGAGGAATTTCCTGCCCTTACCTGAAATCGAACCCCGGTTCCTCTGTTCTCCAATCAGTAGGAGAGCTGCTGCACTGACTCAGCAATCTCAGTTTCTTGACGAATATATCTCACACAAAATATATAATAATTTCGAATGACAAACTAACCAAATGACTTCATGGAACTGAGCCCTTCTTGAGTAGCTACCAGTCGCTTAGCCACTCAAGGATATCCCAAGATTTTACGGAACACGAAGGTTCATTACCGTGTTCACAAGAGCCCTCCACTGGTCCATATCCTGAGTCACAAGAATCCAGTCCATACAACTCCAACCTGTTTCCCCAAATTCGATTTTAATATACTCTCATCTATGTCTAGGTCTTTCTAATGGTTTCTTCCCATCTTCACAACAAAATTCCTATGTGCATTCTTCTTCGTCCCTATGCGTTCTACATATCACGCCCATCTCTTGCTGCGTACGCTTACCTCAATATACCCCGCCATGGGAACTTCATAACTCACTTGGTGCTTACCGAGCTTTCAGATGGTTTTTATTGTCGCTTTGTATTCGTGAGGTCCCAGGTTCAATTACTGATCATGCAATCAGTTATCTCAGTAGATGCTCTTAGTGGCTTCCCTCTGGGGAAAATTCTGGAATAAGACTAGGATGTTTGCTTTAAAATATGTTGTGGCATACGAAGCTGTTGCTAGGCTACGACCTCGAAAGAAACAGCACGTTTGCTTGAAATTGGAAACATTAACATAGACATTGCGTTTTCTCTGCGGTCCGTGTCGAGATATTATAAGCAGAACAGTTAGTGAGAGTCAGTTAGTTGAGAGTCGACAGTTGGAGCAATAAGTAAGTCGTGAGAGTCGCCAGGCGGTAAGAACGTGAGCACAGAAGCAGAGGATATTATTGGGATCCTTCACCAGACAACGGCTGATGAAGGCAGCAGGCGTAGAAAACCCAATATGTCCTGTGGTGATTTGTGAAGTGTAGTAACGAGTTATATACGTGTGCAATAAATTCGATTACCATTCCAAACCCCGTCTATAGTCACTCTAAAACGTGGCAATATCAATATTCGCACCAAACTCATCTCTACCCTCGATGATAATCAACCAACACAGAGGAGATAGCGGTGTGAAATAATTCAAGTTATTTTCTCAGAGATGCGATTGGGTTCGCACCGTAGATTTATCTGCTCATAAATGTAAAGTCGTTCCTCTGCTTAATTAAGCACCATGTCATGAAAACGTGATTAGCGGAGGTATAGCTCCACGCATTCATAACCTCAGAAATAAATGGAGATTAGCGATTATCTTCACGGCTCAGCCTCTTAACCTCAAGTGAGGCAGCTTCTTGTACCCACTTTAGAGGAGCTAAACGGGGTCTAGAACCAGTCTGAATGCTGTGGCAAACAACCAAGAATCGACTTGTAGTCTACAGCCTAGTCACTCTACCGATTGAGGCAGCGCTGCACCTATCTAATAACATGCATTATATGAATTATATTTAGATAAACATTTCTTGACTGGAGTAACAGATCACTGTGAAAGCAATGCATAATTTACGGGGAAGTATATTATTTGCCTTCCTAGTCAAATAATTTCAAACAGTATCTGACTCCGAAAATATTTACGTTCTGGGTCAATATACTTTCAAAGGTTTCTTGCGGTTGTATTTAATCCACTATGTGTAAATTTCTTTTCCTTACGAGCACAACCACACAGCAAATATTATAGCCGACATGTTGAGCAGAAGTCTGCAATACAGAGAAGCATGTTTATAAGAAATATTTTTATGATCTCTTCGATATGCTTCGCAACAACTGTTCAGGCTAATAATTATTCCTTATCTGCTGCAGCTTGCATAACAATAGACATCGCTACGAGGTACCAAACACATTACGTGTATCTGCTACACCCTTCATACGATCCAGGTAAGTTAGAAAGATTAAAGAAAGTGTTAGCTTGCTTCTAAGAGCAAATCTTCTTTACATACAGAGTCCTATATGTATGGAACATTTCATGTTCATAATTAACACTTCCCATGCTATAAACGAGATACGATTATATAGCTTTGAGAACTATACGACTCCTTATGTATATATTGTGGCCTATAGGCCTGTTTCCAGGAAACGATCACGAAACAAAAACCAAGACAATTGCCGTTACTAGGCAGCGTCCCGTGTCCAACAATGGAAGTACCGTTGGAGGCGGTGTTTTCTATGTGGTCCGCTCAGAGGTTATATCATGCGACCGACCGCGTTCAGTTCAGTTACGCCCACTTTCTCGTCAGAGAGTATATGTTACATAAGGATTATTACCGCAATAGTTCAGTTGGAAAAAAAATTCTGGTCGTGGGCCTCAAGGGGCTGACGCCAAGAAGAACTGATTGGCTGTAAACCGCAAGTCCCAAAGTAACATTGACTTTGACCGTTCAGTTATGGAGGCGGTCAAGAAGACGACCGTTCAAGTGGCTAGACTGCCGTTGTAGCAGGAGTTACTAATGATAGGACATGATCTGCTGTACTGAGCCTGTACTGACAGAGGCTTTGTAGATACTGTATAACATGTAAAATGTAAATTGTACATACTGACAACAGACTTATTGCTGCTGACTGTGACTCTGGCAAACGGCAGACCCGTCCTCTCGCCAGAGAGAACGCTACAAATCAAGAAACCCGCAGCTGTGCGACAGTAATAAAAATCTGGTCTTAAGCCCTATATAGGTGCTTTATTCCAAGACAGACTGGCCGACTGACCGTCGGTAGTAACATGACTTTGACTTTGATAGTTCAGTTAGTGCAGTGCAGGAAACTGAAGAGTTGTGAGCTGCTGCTGTAAGAATGTCTTCCGTTGGAAGCCGTTACCGATTAGCGACTGGTGAAGGCACAGAAGACTGAAAAGCATTAGTACGTGTTGTAGTGAATTTTAGAGTGTGTGAATTAGCGATATTGTTATAGTTCTTTTGTAATTACGATTTTTAAGGTTTCAATAAATCCAATTACCAATCCAAACCCCGTCTACAGTCACACGTGGACGTTGACAGCTTCTTTGTCATTTGACACTCTCTGCGAAAACAGGCTTGCTCTCCCACTACGTTACCAAGCTTTTAAAATTAATTAATGTGCATAATGAAAACAGCTGCATGGAAAGAGTTCAATTTATTTCCTATGCGAAAATACTGTGATGAGTAAACATAAATTTCGGAGTTGGCTGTTATATTGTGATACTTAGCGACGACGTTTCGAAATGCGAACTAAGAAAATTATAAAGCTTTATTTGTGCAAAAATGGTATATTATCATATTTAAATATGCACAACGAAGTTATATCTGGTGTTACAGATCTTCCGTGATTTGACGCCGTGTATTATGGTAGATAAATATCAATATTTTGGAGGAACTTGCTGCCTCCATCTTCAGGGTTATTATGAATATTTGAGACCTCATACTTAAATCCACTACCGCGAGAAAATCAAACTTAATTTAATTTGAAGGGTATTATTATCAGAGATCTTACGTTGTGGAGTCTGGTAGACGTTTCGGTGAGACGTACTGAATCAGTCTCCAAGGTCGACGAGGAAACCAAGCAAGGAACCATATTCGGCATCGATACGTTCTTATGAAACGTCCATCAACTACCAGACTGCACGTCTTCACATCTCAAATTCAACTAATTTTAATATACAATTTCAGCTAAAAGTATTAATTATTTTCATGCGAAAGTAACACACACACACACACACACGACACTTTGGTACAGGCGTATTTTTTAAACACATTACCCAATAGAGCATTTTGCGTGAATTAAATATATTTTTCAGGTGATGTACTGAATACTTACAAATACTTTCTGAACGAAATCAATGCTAAAATCTACATGAAGACGTTGATCAAAAGCATGGAAGATATGGCACGTATACCACATACGCCCTTTCAGCATCTGCATGTCATATACACCAGCGATATAGACACACACGGTCTTCTTATGAAGGTGAGATTCTGCTAGAAATATTACAATATAGTAGAAGAGAGCGGCCCGTTGAAATCAAAGGTGCTCTGAAAACAGAGGATGATTCTAAATTATTTTCGGGGTTTCCGTGGCCTATGATTTTCAAACCGGAAAAAACAAACAAAATACAAACTCCGTGACCTTCAGCCTGCAAGCGAAATATACCGACCGAGCGACCGCCGCTTGTCGTTGAAGTTAGTGCCAACTACTGCGGATAGAGGGTGTCGCGTGGTCACCGCAACGGATTCCCACAGCCATTATCTTGGTCAAACCGGAAACAACAAAATAAAAATATTTACGTGCCAAGAAAGGCGTGCATGTTGAAGTCGTTTAGCATTCTATAGATAACAACATTTTTTAGCTACATTTTCATATTCCATTGAAGTTTTTATTTCTTTATTTCCGGTTTGAAAATTATGGGCCACGGAAAACGCGACTATAATTTAGAATCACCCTGTATTACTATAGAAATCATATTTGTTTTGGCTGTGTGATTCTAGAGAAAGCCATTACTCATTAAAACTGATCGTTTATTCGTGACCTAATTATGTTCATGTAACGCAAGAAAACAAGTTGCTATGGTAACCGGAACTTACATGTTTTTCAATTCAAACACAGATTTCGACCTCAAGCAAACTATCGAACAGAAGATGGCTCGTGTTCCTGGACTCGGAAACGACAGTGAAAGACTTCTTCGCCGACATTCACTTACCGATGGACTGCGAGTTTCTAGTCGCACAGCGCTGCCTTGACGAAGATGTGGAATTCTCGATAACAGGCGTATACCATGTGCATCCGACAGGAGCACTACAGATGTACGCTTTAGGCAACTGGAGTTCTGGTAGAGGCCTAACTTGGATCGACATCCCAATGCACCACCGAAGGCGAGATCTCCAGGGAATCATCCTCAAAGGAGCTTTCATTCCAGACGTATTTCCTCTCTCTCTCTCTCTGCATATGTATATACTCGTACACATAAAAACATAATACAATATCTTCTCCGCGTCGGTTGCAACGAGTTTGCTAGAATGCCGATAGAGGCGACACTTGACGGCTAGCCAGTAGACATAGGCAATCGCATTATGCGTAAAAGAGTTTCTAAAACATTTAATATATTCTCTGTACGATAATGAAAATAATAATTGTGTGATAGAGACACCGCCTCTGTCCATGTGCTTCCTTCCTGAAAGAAACTAACGATTTCAAATGAAGCTCGGTATCTGCAGTAGCGAATATAAATTAGTGAGCGCCTCTGTGGTCTAGTGGTCAGAGTTCCTGGCTACAGATCCAGAGGTCCTGGGTTCCATTCCCGGCACTGCCAGATTTTCTGAGAAGTAGTGGGTCTGGAATGGGGCCCACTCAGCCTCGTGAGGAAAACTGAGGAGCTACTTCAAGGAAACAACGGCTCCGGTCTAGAAAACCGAGATTAATGATCGTAGGGATTTGCTGCGCTGACCACGCGACACCCTCTATCCGATAAAGTTGGCATTAACTTCGCCGACAAGTGGCGGTCGCTCGGTCGGTATAGCTCCCTTGAGGAATATAAGTTAGTTCAAATATGACAAAAGGTAAATTCAAGGAGGAAAAATAAATGGTAGCAATCCCCGAAGGAAAGACACTACTATGAAGACCTAGGCATAGATGGTAAGATACTATTATAATGGAGTTTACAGAAGTAGGATTGCAGGCCGAACTGCATTCACGTGACTCCGGATAGGGACCAGTTTTTGACTCTTGTAAATATGGCAATGAACTTTGGAGTTCCACAAAATATTGGCAATTGCTTGACTACATGAGCAACTATTAGCTTCTCAAGGAGGACGCAGATCCTTTGACTGAGTTAAAATATGTTTTAGGGGCATATAATAGCAATGAACGCGTTCTTAAAGTTTAGTCTGCTTGTACTGCTAAGAAACGTTTTCGTTTACTGTCTGTCTGAAATATTTCTGGGGGTATGGCATACTTTACATAGACAACCTTGTGGAAGGTAAGTGCTGTGTGTATGCTGACAATTGAATAAAAAATCTTTCTAATAATAACATAGACTGCGCCATAGCTCAAGCTGTTAGTCGCTGGTTTCCTACCGCGGTGGCCCGGGTTCTATTCCGGGTCTAGTTAAGTGAGATTTGTGGTGGACAAAGTGGCGCGCTGGAGCAGGTTTTCTCCGAGTACTTCGGTTACCCCTGCCAATCTTCATTCCACCAATTGCTCCACAATCACCCTCACCTATCATCTGGGGCTGATACAATAGGCCAGAAGTGGCCGCAGTACAAGGGACTCAGTCCCACCCCACTAGCAATAAAGAAAATAATAATGACTTAACAAGACAGTTCATATCTGAAGATGACGCAGCCACAAAGATGTTTTAGTCACAGTTTATATACGTAAAGTAAAAGTAAGTAAAGCTAGCCCTGTAACAGTCCGTGAAGGCCCATAGGGTTGTGAGACGTTGAGGCTCCCACATTACCTTGACAATCGGCTCAAAGATGGCGGTAAGGTTGTCAGCCTTACGCGCCGGCCGCGCTTCACTCCCCAGGAAAATCATTTAATTAATTCCTGGTACTCATTTCTGTTAGAGGCTTAGTGCGGCCGGAAGGATTAGGTCAATTGAAAAAAAAAATCCAGTGATCTCATCGGGACTTGAAACCGCGACCTTCCGGCTTGCAGCATAGTACCTTAACCACTACGCTACCGCGTACCCCAGTTTATATACTTAATATAATATAATTGTTTCCCGCTCTGTCCTCAGGCTCCATATGTTATCAGCAGAAATATCAGCGGAAGAAAACCGTACGACCTCTCCGGTTTCTCCTTAGTGTTCTGGAACTTACTGCAAGAACTGGCGAACTTCACGTGAGCGATCAATTCGATATACGGCTAACAGAATATCAAGAACAAATTTTGTATTGTCACCACTATTATCAGTGTTCTTTATTATAATAAGACTAAATCATTACCAATGGCAGTGCTTCAATCTAAATTGGATGCAATTCCAAAGAAAAAAATCGAAAAAGAAAAATATTTCATGAGTAATTAACGTTTCCAACATTTCTACGCCATACGTAAGATCTGAGATTCTCATAAGGGCAGTCATGAAGAGTTATGGATATAGCGCAATGTACTCCATTGACGGAGGCTGCCTCTCAATAGTTTACACTAACCGTTGCTTGGTAGCGGCTTCATCAGCTGACATGGCCCAGTTTACCCACATGCACGGCGTTCTTTTCGTCATATCCTACAATTCGCAAGGCTACGGTGATGGTATTCTAACCTGGTTCCACGCGGGGTTACACAACAAAGTCAGAGTCAAATTTACTTTACAACTGGCGATTTAAATCCGATCATTTCTTCTTGACGTCAAGCTCCTTGATGATCACGACCAGAGATTCCTTTTCTGCTGAACCCTTTGGGCCATAGTCCTTATGTAACATCCTCTCTGACGAGAGGATGAGTTTGTCTCTTATGAATACGCTTGGCCTTTCGTCAAGTGTACGTATCGCAAATATAGCATGTTATTGAAAATTCTTCCTTTTATGCAAGTCCTCCGTTTCTACAGGTTTTTGCAACTTAACTATATAATCCTCGTTATATGGCCCCTGCACGGACCGCACTGAAAACGTCTTACATTATTGCACATTTCTTGTTTTCGGGAAATAACGTGCCCAGAGAGCTGTTCCCTATCAATGACTGCTGTAGTATCACCTGTTATTTAAACACAAACGACGTTTCGGAGACAGCATTCCATCACTGTCTTCAGGTGGAACTTACGAAGTTCGGCCCAATCGATAGAGCTAGTCTATAACTCCGGACCTTTAAGACACACAACGTTTCGGAAACAGAATTCTGTCTCCGTCTTCATTTGCAACCTAATCAATTGGGTCCAATCGATAGAGTTATCGCCTATCACATGACAGTTTATTTAAAACACACAACGTTTCGGACACATGATTCTATCTGTCTTCAGGTGGATCTTACGCAGTTGGGCCCAATCGATAGATTTACCTCCTATCTCATTATCTTTTATTTAAGATACAACGTTTCGGAGACAGGATTCTGTCTCCGTCTTCAGGTAGAACCTAATAAATTGAACCTAATCGATAGAGCTAGCCTATATCGCCGGACCTTTCATTTAAGACACAACGTTTCGGATATATGGTTCTGTCTCTGTCTTCAGGCGGAACTTAGCAGTTCGGCTCAATCGATAGAACTAGTCTATAACTCCGGACCTTTAGGACACACAACGTTTCGGAAACAGAATTCTGTCTCCGTCTTCAGGTAGAATCTAATCAGTTTGGATAGAGCTAGTCCCTACTTCCGGACGATGGATAATATCCATAAATAATAGCCACGAACATTTAGATGTAAGCCGGTTTTGGTACTTTTTGATGAACATTGCTTTCACGTTTAGATTAGAATATCACATCCCTGAAGACAATTCCTACGGGTCTGATGAGGGAAATGTCTCTTGGAGTGGAATTCTGGGAATGGTAATAAAGAAGGAAGTCGACGTTGGAATCAACGTGTTCCAGTTGGCAAGTCACCGCATGACGGCCGTCGGTTTCCTGCCTCCAATCTTCAATTCAAAGTACGTAATACACACACGTCTATGTCTGGACACGGATATGGGATTGATAATTGGATTTACCGAATTCTTAGGACTCATAACTACACTAGCGTTACTCTACACACTCTAGAATTCACTATAACACAGGTTGTCTTAGCCTATTACAGATTTTACTGGTCGTTGCTTGTTAGGGGCATCTAACAATGCAAAACAGTAATGTAATTGCCGACTCCGACCTTCGATTCCCGACAGTCAAATTCCGACTCATGACACGAATCACTTTCCTCGTTTGTCCTCGCTATATAACTTCGGCACGGACTGCACTGAAAATATCGCTTTCAATAATCACTCCATAGTTGAGTGATGTATTCAGGCCCGCTTTTTATCAAAGTTCCGGACACTGTTGACACGGGAGCATGTTTTGATTGATATGGAGAAATTGTTGCCGGCCGTTGTCCAACAATGAACAAATTTTCTGTGCCCTCATATTCGGGCTTCAGCCGTCATGTCACAATATGCATAATATTCTGTCCAAAAGACAGAGCTAATTTGTGTAGTGGTTACGGTGTAGACTCTCATTCGTGGAGTGCTGGGTTCGTATCTAAGCCTGAAAACCAGCTACCCTGAGGATTATCGTGGTGTTCTTTAGTCCCTCCAGGCAACCACTTCCTTCCAAATCATTTCAAATTCATCTATCATATATCGTCCGCCAATTAGACACTATATAGTCTAGCTCAAAGGTGAGAAAACCATGGCCCGCGAATATATTTTTCATGCGGCCCGCGTATTTTCTGGGAATTGTCACCTTAAAATTGTGACGTATTGCGCTATGAAGGACATCCCCTCCCCCGCCAGCGGTGACGTAACAACATCGGGCGCTGTCGCTACTACGGTAACAGGCCAGTCAACACTCAAACACGTTACAATATAATTTAAATTTACACCTACCTTTCTTTAAAACTTCTCAAGCAATTTAGTGACGTATTTTTTGTACAGTAAGCATAATGTTATCAACATCTACTAGGTAACGTCCGATTTAATAATGTCATTAACTACCGATCACAAGTAGGCTAACAGATTCTTGTTTAGGATTGCAAAGCATGCATAGATGTTGAAATGAAGTTAAAATGGTGAGATTTATTTCGGGCGAATAGCGGAATAGAATTTGTTGAGTGTATGACCACCACCACCACCACCACTTCTCCTAAAATAAAGCTGTCCCTGGGCTTAGTTAATAAACCACCACGTCCTGAAGGCGTATGGGGAGTGCAGGTATAGCTCCACTATTCTAGACCTCGGCACTAGATGGAGGTCAGTGGTCAGCTTCACACCCCGACCGCTTTCCCCCCAGCGAAAGAACTCTCGGTACCCATTTTATAGGAGGCTTGGTGGGCCCCAGATCCAGTGCGGACGTTGAGGAATAGAGAAAAATCTTTTCCCAGCCGGGAATCGAACCCCGGCCGTCCAGCACGTAGCCCACTGCAATAACGGCGGAGCTACCGTGGCTCCCTATTATTATTATTATTATTTATAAATATCTATACTTTACATTTACCAATTATCAATAGGAACTTTTATTTGTGTTAGTGCAATTATTATTATTTTTTTATTGTGTTTGTTTCTCTCTCTGCATTGATGTGTTTTTCTCTAGTGCTTATCTTTAATTAGTCTTTGACTTTATGCTGTGTTTGTCCAGTATGTAACTACTTGTATCTACACCGTGCTGTGTCTGTAATTGGCCTTGCGGCAGTTGGCTCAGTACATAAATAATAAAGAACTGAATTATTATTATTATTATTATCGTTGTTATTGTTGTACTGCGCTTCGAATTTCTTGCAGAGTTTATGTATACATCCGACAAACTGACCCGACAAAAAAGTCTCTCATCCGGATGTTGTCACCATTCAGCACTGGGCTGTGGGGAGCCATCCTTGTCACCATTTCGCTGCTCCTGCTAACTCAGAGAGCAATATTCAACATCGGCGTTCACTTCGAGCTCCAAGAAGAGACTGACTGTCAGCTCCTAGACGCCTGGCTCTACATACTCGGAATATTCTGCCAACAAGGTAAACTGCAAAGCATTTCGAACTTCAAAGGACATTGCCGCCTACTTGTCTTTGGTACGACACGGACCGAATAGAAAATGACACCTTCCAACAATTCCTCCCAACAATTCCTCGCTACCGCGAGAACCTGATTACTGAGCCGTTGCCTAGCAAAGATGGAGTGACGCAGACCCACAGACTTTCTTTTAATACGACGCAGACCTCATATAAAACGACGAGACCAACAATTCTTCTATTGTTGCATGTGTATTCATTGTAGTGATAATGTTTTTACCGAGCCGTTGCCTAGCAACGGTACTGGATACACATATAGACACACAGACTGATGGGAGGGACTTATGAAGTAGCCGTTGAGATGGACTCAGGTGTCGTAATATACGTACCAAATTTCATATAGATTGGCTCAGATATCCAAAAGTAATAAAAGGGATATACACACACACAGATAGCATGATGATCGCATAAGCCTACTTTTATTTTTTTTTAATAAAGAAAGCAGGCTAAATAGGAAATTTTTTCTTGAGTTACGTCTGTATACAAAATATGAATGAAATATAGCGACTAGCCTGCGTCCTAGGTGACCGAGGATTCGTGGTTTGATTCCCAGCAGGAGCAAGAGAATTTTCCCTTCACCACAGTATCCAGGTCGGCCCTGGAGCCCATCTCTATCCAACGGGTACCGTATGGGAAGTTCGCTAGAGGCAAATTTATTGGGGAGTGAATCTGACTCCCCATACATATTCATGACCTGCTGTTTAATTAATTAAACACAAATTTACTTTCAAAAGTTCTATATTCTTTTATATAATGTCATGTAGTACGTTGAAAGTTAACGGATGTTTCGGAAAAAATATGTTTCCTCCGAAACTTTAGTTGCCTTTCAACGCACAACAAGGCACTATATCCCAGAAGATAGAACTCCTCATAACCACAGCCGTGATAACCTCAACCTCCAGTAAGTTTACATAAAATTGTATTACTTAACGGCTGAATGCAATAAAAGGCTTGTGGACAATATTTCATTGGACAGCCTCAACATCGCTACTGATCATGTGTCTATGTTTGTATGTACAGGTCACAGGACTATCCGCCTCTCATGGTCCTCTCGTCTGGTGTATCTAACAGCATATTTCATTGCGCTTGTCCTGCTAGTCACGTATTCTGCTACATTCATCTCTTCGCTGGCTGTGAGCAGGCAAGACTTGCCCTTCTCAACGTTTGAAGACATCCTCAAGGACGGTACACTGAAGGTTGGGGTCAGAGGCAAGTCTTCACACGAAGACTATTTTAAGGTACGTAAAATACACTGGAAGAGGAAGCTCCGGTTGAAAGGACAGCAAATTTAACTCACTCCACGCAGCAGACATCCTTTTCGTAACACCAATAATTCGAAATAAAGCAATGATGTCTTCGGGCTGTCCAATCATTCGGATTACTAGATAGTGTGACGTGGATGGCGGAATGGGAAGTGTGGGTCACTTGAACTCCGCGTTTCCTCGAGTGACATCACATACCCCCACTCCTTCCAACAGTACGCAACGCTCGGTAAACACACCTCCCCTGCGGTGACGTAACAGAGGAGCAACTGCGTCAGGCAACCATTGCCGCGGTGTTGTTACCAAGGGATACCGTGGTTACTACCCAGCTGTAAACAACTCCGGCAGCGTTGCTAGCAACACTTGTAAACACGGCGTCAGGCAACAGCGGTAAAAATAAAAAAACAGTAACATTATTTATTCAAAATATTGTAGGCCGTACCATAACTCGGGCAGTTAGTCGCTTGTTTCCCAATTCAGCGGCCCGGTTTCGATCCCAGGTCAGGTCATGTGGGATTTTTGGTGGACAAAACGGTATTTGGGTAGGGTTTCTCCGGGTAATTCTGTTTCCCCTACCAATCTCATTCCACCGACTGCTTCACATTCATCAACATATATCATCCGGGGTGGTGTAATACGTCAGTTAGTGGCCGAAGTACCAAGGGCATTCACCTTTACCCCACTTCAAGAAACTAAAATAAAAAACAATTCAAAATCTTATAGGTCAGATTTATATATAAACAATACCCCGGAACTCGTGGATGTTGGACTACACGCCTAGCTTGGTGCAAGAGGTAACCGGGTAACATCTCTGACCGTCCAGAGAGAGGTAGTTCCATTAACACATAATGTCGTGTTTCAGAAAAAAATAATTTGCACTGCAAGGAAGTGAAATCACTAGATTAAATCTGTAATTTCTGGATGTGCAGAATGATTTTCTGTTGTACTGTAAGTCACTAGGGCGTACAGTACTTCAGCACGTCACGAACTTAATACCGTTCTATGGCAGCGCTTTCCAGACTTAATACTCTGGCATATAGAGCCGTTGCTAGGCAAAGACCTCGAAACACACAACGACAGTTGGGCGGTAATATTAGATTTGTTTGGGGGCAACGGTTAAACATGCAATGAGGGAAAAGGGTGTTGCCTATGCGGTCCTTATGGGGAATCGAAACCGCAGCCTTCCGGCTTGTAGCATAGTGCCTCAACCAACCACGCTACCGCGTGCCCCCTTCCATATGGTACCCACAGAAAATAAAAATATTCCCACTCAACCTACATTGGACGGAGTTGTGGTTTTTCCTTTATACTTCTGCAATGATGACGACAGTCCAGAAGGGAGAGGTGTCCAAGCTGGGTTGACTGATCGGATGATCTGTCAGGGCCACGTGGGCGGGCGAACCGCTTGTATTTCCCGTATTTGGTGTTTGGCTCAATGTGCAAGACCTTCGCTTCATTCCAACATATTCGGTGGCTTTCCTCGCAGGCATATTGTGATGTTTTAGATTTTAAATAAAAACAGGACGTCGGATAATGTCCAGAAACATAATATTTGTACTTATTACGTAGTTTGAAAATAAATGAGAACAAATATTTATTAAAAATAAAACATTTTATGACAATGATTAATTGGAACTGAAAGGTCAAGAAGGCCGCTCCATAGCTGAAGCGGTTAGTTGCTGGCTTCCCACTGCGGCGACCCGGGTTCGATCCCGAGTTTGGTCAAGTCGGATTTGGGGTGGACAAAGTGGCGCTGGGGCAGGTTTTCTCAGAGTACTTCAGTTTCCCCTGCCAATCTGAATTCCATCAATTGCTCCACAATCACCCTCACCTATCATCTGCGGATGGTACAAAAGGCCAGAAGTGGCCGCAGTAAAAGGGACTTAGTCCCACCCCACTAGCGAAAAGAAAAAAGGACAGGATTTTTTTTTTCAATAAGTGACAAAAGAAATGCACTGCTTAAAACTTGCGACTGGAAACTGCGACGCGATGTAAAACACGTGTCACCACTTCTGGAATAAGTACACGAGAAGTCACTCAGAAAACCAGCTTTCACTTACAGTACCAGGACCATGCTGAGTAATTTTATCAGTAAGCAAAGCATGCAGGCGAAGTCTACGTCCTAACGTACAGATGTATATGTTCCTTATTTACAGAAGTCTTCAAATCCAATACTGAAATCGGTGTACGAAAAGATGATAAAACCAAACACGGAAACGCAGCCCAAGAGTTTTGAGGAAGGGTTACAACGTGTCTGCAAAGAAAGTAAAGTTGGATTTGTAGTTGCGCAGGCTACATTCCGAGGACTCATGCAGAATGTACCATGCACGATTGTGGAAGTTCCTAAAGCCTATTACACAACAACGGTTTCCTTCATCATCAATGGAGAAAGCCCTTACAAGAGGCTCTTCGCAGGACTGTGAGTGTCTTCTCCAGGATATACTAATGGAACTAACTGATATACATTCCCCTTCAATGTCTCTAGTTCTCAACCTCAGGTTCGTGACCTAGTCGAAGGGAGAGGGGTCCAAGTTTACAAGAATTATTTAAAACATAATGTTTTGTAAGTCAGTAGTCAGTGACAGTGATAAAAATGTTGCACACGGAGAAATATTTAACGATTTTTGCTGACTGTACAGAACATTTTACAGCTTACTGTAGGTTCCGAGAAGCTGTAAAGCTATTTAGGTTCCTGCTGTCACCGTACAGCCTGACAGGGACCTGCAACAGTGTACAGAACTGCACTTTTCGTGACTGTACAGGAACATTCTATAGCTTACTGTAGGTGTAGAGAGGCTGTAAAGCTATTTAGGTTCCTGCTGTCACCGTACAGCCTGACAGGGACCTGCAACAGTGTGCAGAACTGCACTTTTCGTGACTGTACAGGAACATTTTATAGCTTACTGTAGGTGTAGAGGCTGTAAAGCTATTTAGGTTCCTGCTGTCACAGTACAGCCTGATATGGGCCTGCAACAGTGTGCAGAATTACATATTTGGCTACCTCACAAAAATGTAGAAGGAGAGAGGATTGGAAATTCATGTATTATTTGGGATGGAGGGGTCACGGTATCAAGAAACCTGAGAACCCCTTAACTGTTATACCAGGCTGACGAGTTTTCATGCTTTGTCTTCTTGATTTTGATCTCTTATAATCTGATACAGAAATACTAGTTCTCCACTTTCATGCCTCTGTTTAGCTTATTATGTCCTCCACGAGCCGTCTTATCTTCCCCTTTATTGTATGCAACCATAGTTTCCAAACGCGACTTTTACCACGAAAATGGAAGCAGGATATTACTTCGAAGTACGATATCTTCCTCTCACACCTCATGGAGTCTATTCTGTAATTATTTTATGACACTTTCAATGTCGCAGACATTATAGCTCCACATAATCGTAATTGATAATCATAAGTTATATGTTAAAATAGAAAAGTATTTTCACAGTTGTAATTTATGAAGTGGATAAGAGTCCAACGTATTATTCAATGACTTTCTTCTTTTCGGTACGAAACATTTTTCTCTTACCTCCAATACTAGCAAGTGCTGATGCTAAGATACCTGGGTAATAACTTTTCAGGAACCTGCTTTCCTATATCAAATTTCACCCTGAAGATGGAGTCAGTCTGTTCATTCGAAACATTAGTATCCATTTAGGAAAATACATTTTTTCAATTTCTAGAACACCCTAACAGCAGTAGTAAAATACGATTTGGTTTTGATACACAGGATTCAAGACATGAGAAGGTCAGGGATTTTGCGACGAATAGACACAAATTTCTGGACGCCCAAACTCGAGGAAACCCTACTGGAGCCACCGAAGGGCGTGACCTTTGAAACAGTGATGGCATACTTCGTGCTTCTAGCTTCAGGGATTTTGATCTGTATACTGATTCTAGTGGTGGAAATGGGCTGTCGAAAGCGATGAATATTTATCCAAAATATGTCCTCTCCTACTTTTCTTATTCCTTCTCTTCTTGTCTTCTTTCTTTTCAGTTCGCTGTCCCACACAGTTATGTGTTTAATGTTTACAGTCTCAAATTAATGTACTGTTTCCCGCATAGGAGCAATACATCGAATAGTGTATCAAAACCAATTTAATAAACAGTGTCATCTTTCAAATATACAAATTGGATTGTCTGTAATTGTCAAGAATTGTGTCATTTTAAGAATGTGATGGATATTTACGACGCAGGTTTTATGACATTAATAAATGTGACGTAATTCAAGAACATTATTTTAACCATGGAGAGTTCTATAAAACGTCGTTTACAGTTGTATAAGTTGAAGTTGTTTCTTGAAATTAGCTACGGCTGGTTTATCTCGCAGTTTACGTGCTTAGTGTATTTACGTGTATTCTGCTTTTAGTTAATAATTGAATTAAATACATATAGGGAACTAATAATTATGATTAGTAACTAACTACAAGTTAAGGCCGCACCATAGCTCAAGCGGTTAGTTGCTGGCTTCCCACCGCGGCGGCCCGGGGTTTGTGGAATTTGTGGTGGACAAAGTGACGCTGGGGAAGGTTTTCTCCGAGTACTTCGGTTTCCCCTGCCAATCTTCATTCTACCAAATTCTCCATCATCCTAATCACCCGGGGAAAGTACAATAGGGCAATCAGTGGCCGCCGTGCCGAGTGGACCCAATTGGGCTCCACCCCCCCCACTAAGATAATATAAATTTTTAAAAAACTAGAAGTTAATTCAGAACACCTTGAACTGGAATCATTTTTTCTTAAATTGATTCTTTAAAAAGTGTGCGCAGAAAATTTATTTATTTATTAATTCATTCAATCTGTTCCTCTTATACCTTTACGGTGTCGAGGTTGTTTTTTTTTTTGGTTCATTTTACAGACGGTAGGACTCCTTGGACGGGTGATCAGCTCGTCGCAAGGAGTCTACCTAAACACAGGACAACACAAACACAGAATAAACGCATACACATACCAAACAGTAATGCCTTGAGTGGGATTCGAACCCACGATCCCGGCTTCCGAGAGAGCGAAGATAGTTCATGCCTTAGGCCGCTCGGCTACCGTGAACGGCTTTTTTTTATTAATAAAGCGACAAAATATTATACAATGCGAAAGTGGTACTTAGTTCTGTGTCAAGATTTAAATAGTCTTAAGATAGTTGTTTTTGTTTAGTAGTTCAACTATCCTGTAAGTTACTCTCTTCTTCTCATGTGTAATATCATTTACCCTCTAGTATATGAAACCGTATAGTCTGGCAGATTGTCGCCAAATTCCATAGCAACCTAGACGGGGGAATAATTATCTTAAATTTATGCCTGTGCTTAACTAATTAAACACTATTCAATAAAGACGGATGTGGAAGAGGATATATAGAGCTACACTTTCTTGACCTTCTCACTAGTTGAAGGTGAGTGGTTAGGTTCACACTCCGGCCGCTTTACCCCCCGGAGAAAGAACTTCCGATACTCATTTAATATGAAACTGAGTGGGCATCATAATCGGTCTGGACGACGTGGAAAGGAAAGAATATTGCCTCTACAGGGACTCGAACTCCGACTCCACTGTGGTCCAGCCCGTAGCCAGTCTTCATAACAACTGAGCTATCCCGGCTCCTAATTTTCTTTAATACATCTTATTTGTGTAAAAGTATAGTATCTTCTATTGAATTAAACAAGTGTCGAAGAATTTTATTTTCTGGGATATGACACTGTATGACGGATATGACCCGTTGAAATTCAGCTTCAGGGTTGAAGATTAAGCAGAACAAGAAACTGGCGTGAAGCAGGGAACAAGCAGGGGAGACGAAACGATCACTAGAAACTGCAAAGTCATGTATATTGAAGTAAGAGAGAAAACATTAAAAACTTTGGCACTGATAGCAACGCTATGGACATGCGCAAGGCCTTCAGAACTGTCTACAGAAGTAATGGCTGATATAACGGTCGGAGTTCTTCAGCATTACCACTCAACGTGTGTCTTCATGCTACGTGTAACAAAGGAACAAGGTCAGTGATGGTATGACTCTTGATGTATTTCAGCCATTTTGGGAAGAGGGTGGTGTAGTCAGTAGGGAAATTACATAGCATTAAATGTAGTTACTTGTAGCTACAATCAGTAGGCCTTCAATAAATCCAATTAGCAATCCAAACTTCGTCTAAAGATACTCTAACACGTGACAATACGTAAAGATTTTTGTGAGTCTATATTTTCGAAATATTGGGACTTAAAGCGTTAAGTAAATAATTCTTCTTTATACTATACCGACCGAGCGTCTTCCGCTTGTCATCGAAGTTAGTGCCAACTTTAGCGGATAGAGGGTGTAGCATGGTCAGCTCCACGGATCCCCACGATCGTTAATTTCGGTTTTCTAGTCAGACTAAGAAAAAAATCATGTTCTGTTATTAATGTTTAGTACTGTTATTTAAAATTAAAAGTGGTTAAAATGTTACGCATGTTCACGTTCACATGAACTTGAAGTTTCTAAACCACTGCATTTATTTTTCAGGTTTTATCAGCGATACAAGGACAGCTAAGTTTCTCAAGACACTTTCCCAAAAATACATAATTGTATCCACATTTGAGTCAACGCAACGGGTAATGGAAAACACCACGTGTTTACCTTTTATAGTGCTCTTTTACAACGGAAGTAACAATGTGCAACAATCGCTTGCAGAGGTAATTTGACTCAATATCTCTACATATACGTGTAGGAAAACATGCGCAGTACTGTACTACAGTTTGATGGAATCAAAAATTTGTTTCATAATGAGATTTCATGTTCTCACAGCGGTAAGGATTCAAATTAAGATGTAGGTAAAATGCCATATCATTTCATACAAAAGTACAAACATTTCGGAGAAAGTTCTTTCCTCTATCTCCATAACAGAATCATTTAAATTTTTGACTTAAAGACAGTCGCACTAATTCCTTCCGAAAACCTCGTACTTTTCTAACAAATTTCACTGCACCATATCCCAAAAGACGGAAATATATGAGTACAAGGGAATGTGGCTGCAGCCACGTACTCACACTGTTTCCTCGCTCGCGAATTTCTTGTACCCTGAAGATGAAGGCGATACTTTCCTCCGAAAACTCTGTTAACACAATGTCTACACGGCGCCACATCCAAGAAAAATGCATTCTTTATAGTCACCGCCGTGAAACCCTCAAATTTTACATATTTTAGTGTATTTTATAAAATATTGATTTTGTTGCATTATAGAAGGAAAATTTACCATCTAAAAATGACAGTAACATAAATAAATATTTATTATTTGTAATCATTATCCGATGACATATTTATATTCTATCAAGTTTCATTTTCGAATGACTAAAACAGCAAAATATTTACCATTAAAAATTCTATAATATTACAGAAAAAAAAGTTAAGTAAAAAATTCGAGTCACTGGATTCTCCTCATTAAAACTGTGGAATAGAAACAGGCAAAGTCCCCAAGTTCAACACTTTCCATTCAGTGACAAAGCAAAATACTGAGTTGAGTACATTACCGAATGAATATCTCAAGTTCTTATATCCTATCCTGACTTAAGTGAGGTTTTGTAACTTTACTCTCTCTTATGCAAGACCACAGAAATATATTCTGAAGAATTTACTTACTTACTTACTCATGAAGCTGAGCCCTTCTGGAGGAGCCGCAAATTCTTCAGCTACTCAAGAATTTCCAAGCATTTTATGGAACCCGACGGTTCATTACCATGTTCACAAGAGCCATCCACTGGTCCCTATTCTGAGCCAGACCTATCCAATCCATCCCATCCTATCTCTCTAAGATCCATTCTAATATTGCCCACCCGCATACGCCTTGGTCTTCCATGTGGTCTCTTTCCTTCTGGCTTTCCCACCAATATCCTATACGCATTCCTCGTCTCCCCCATTCGTGCTACATGCCCTGCCCACCTCGTTCTCCTTGATTTGATCATTCCAATTATGTTTGGAGAAGAGTACAAGTCATGAAGGTCCTCATTATGCAGTTTTCTCCAACCTCCTGTCACTCCATCCCTCTTCGGTCCAGATATTCTCCTCAACACCCTGTTCTCAAACACCTTCACAAGATGAAGAATGGCAAACAATTTTTAATGCCGAGTCTATGAGTAAAAATGTTTCGTTTTATCGTTTTCTCCACTTTATTTCATGTGTTGCCAGGAAACGGAGGGCAGGAAACATGTAAAGATGGGAGTTAGTGTATGTTAGTCAACCCCCACAGCTCTACTGTTCACGATATGGGGTTTTTTTAATCTACTTGTAGCAGTCAGTAACCCAGCCCATATGACGTCAAATCGCTGCATGCAGCTTATAATGAATTACGATATGAAGGAAGCGGACATGGGACTAAATTAACGTTTTGCATGCTACATACCAATTAAACCGGCCACAGACGAAGTGATCGTTTCGTTTTTATACAATTAGTACAGTGTTTCTGTCAACAGAATGCACCAGCTTTGACGTGCTAAGCTTTAGAGGAAAGAACAGACTTTCACAAGATGTATTCCTGCTGTCGTTTGCAGACAATTTGTAGTAAGGACTCTGAGTTCTCACGTGACACTGGATTTACCACAACCGGCCTTGGCATTTCCAGCAGGTAGATAAATAGACGGCTGATCACAGTGGCCGCGCGGTCTATTGGCATGAACTGTCTTTGCTCGCTCTAATGCTGGAATCGTGACCTCGAATCACACTCCAGACATGGATGTCTGTGTGCGTTTATTCTGTGTCTATGTTGTCCAGTGTGTATGTAGCGGTCTTGCGATGGGCTCATCCCCCGTCCAAGGAGTCCTAGCGACTGTGTACAAGACTAGGAAAATGAAAAGGCGGCCAAGGTCCATAGAGCGATAGTTAGACATACGGGAATCACAGTCGAAGGTTAAAATTCTGTCTGGAGGAAATTAGGAAAATCACGAAAATACTGTCATGATAGTCAGTGTCCCAGCCAAAACTGGACTGTGTCAGCTCTTGAATATATGTCAGAATCTTTTCTGTGTGAACCGACTTACTTGGTCGGCGCG